GGAAAAGGATTTAAATAGATATACTGATGTATAAAATTTTAGATGAATATCGCTCCTACTAAACTAAGGGATAAATCAACTGAATATGCTGAACAATAGGGAAAAATATATCATATATATATATACATTATATATATATATACATACATACACTATATGAATGAATAAATGAACTAGCAGGCAACAAAAATGGTGCTCACAGTAACAATTTGGAAGACAAAAAGGCTGAGGTGGAAGTTCCCGTCTGAGCCAGGGAGCCATTCTTTCAGGATTTCCGCCTGTTCTCCTGACAGGACCTCACTTTGCTCCGTCCACGTCACATTGCTGAACAGCTGCAGGATCTGGAAGGGAGAGGAGGGGGGGGGGGGAAGGTTTATAGCGTGAAGTCAAAGACATGAACTGACATAATTTGTTCTCTTTATAATGGATTTGGAAGGCAAATCTTTTACATGTATTTAATATCATTATCAGTATTACTATTTTCATCAACTATTATTCTGTCTGTGTAATACAAATCTATATTTACAAATTCCAAATATATCATAAAGAGCCACACCTTCTGATAAGAGAACACACAGACAGACAAACGCACATGCGCTCACAAATCAAATACATCTACAACATCATACAAAAAAATACACCTGTTCTTTACCTGTCCACGTGCGGTTATTTTTGCAGCCATGAACTGACCTAAACACTCTGGAAAGGTCATGATGGAGATGATTATGGTCACGAAGGTTGGATATAAGAGGCGCCTGAAAATGTGAGAAGAAAAAGAAAAAAATTAATACCGAATCACTGAGAATTTAAAATATATATATAAAAAAAGAGGAAACAAAATTGCATTACAACCCACAAAAGAATTATCTTTAACTATAACAACAAGAATACATCCCAACAAATGGGAAGATACACACTTTTTCTTAAGGAAGTTTTTAAGCATCTTGTTCGACCGCATAAACATGACGTATCTGCGATGGAGGTAGACGAACAGAGATCCAGCAAAACCACACACAATGCTGTTAGGAAAAAAAGGAAAAGAGTTATTATTTCCAATTTTGAACTTATTAACAACAAAACATTCACTGAAAAAATGTGTGTTGAGAAATGATTTCCCATTTACTTTCATTGAATGTAAAAAAAACAAAAACAAATAAAAGAATAAATAATAATAATAACAAATAAAATTTTAAAAATAAATAAATGAAAATAAAAAGGAATATGAACAGAATAAACAAAATTTAAATACAGAAGTTTAAAACCTTCTAAATTTCGAAGATTCTGGGCATTTTTATCAATTTTATTTCTATCTTATGTAATCATCAAAAAGAATGTATAAACTTGTCATCTATGTTACATATTCACTGGTTAAAAACATCAAGTAACCTAGGAATCTACGTTTTAAGCAAAATATGGGAGTGATTTAGCAACACTCAAGCCAAAATGAGAATAAATCAGCATAAAACTATCTTCCTCATTATGGCTAAATCAAAAGCAGAAGCAGACCACAGAATCTTTAAGGAGGCAAATGATCTGTCAATGTGTGAAGATATAACAAAGCAATGAAATAAAAAGTGACTCATGCATCATGAATGCTTTTCCAATTACTTAAAAAACAAAATATCTAAAATTCAAGAACAGAACTCAAAAGAAAGAAAACAAATCATAACAGTGACTTAATGCAAGGGAAGAAAAAATAATAAAGTTAACAAAATAAGAACATAATGGAAATAAATCATATATACAGAGGAGGACACTGATAATACACATATACATCTCTATCTATCCCTTATTATGAAGCAAAATGAAGGTCAAAAGTATCAGCCCATTACCCTATAGGTTTCCGTCAAATTCCTGTGCAAGAGACAAATAATGATAATAATTAGCTTAAAAAGAGAGAGAAAATAAATAACAACAGAGAAAGCTTCAAAATCTGTGTCAAAATTTACGTACCCAATACAGAGGAACGGCAGAAGCTCAATGACGTCATAGGGGTAGTCGAAGTCAAGATGCACTTTAAACAGCGGGTAGATGGTTTCTGTCAAGTGCACACCCAACATACAGGACTACAGATTATGAACTTCTACAAAATACAGTACTGTACATCTTTCTAACAGGTTGTCTTAAGGTGCACACATTTTTCAACTAAAAAATTCTCTCCTATTTCTGCTGTATGCTAATTATTGTAAATGACACCATATATTATACACTAAAGACTACCTGCATCAACATAAACATATCACTTACTAGTGCTAGATCTTATCAATATACATATAGCACTAAGACTGGCTTGACATGTAAAACAAAATCAAAAGAAAAATACAAAAAATTAAAGTTAAACTTAAACATTGGGATAAATCAAAATATGTTCAGGCTTTATATACTATTAGGACTATATATATATATATATATATATAAATAAATAAAAAGTTTATACTGGGATACACTGAACTGAATAACTGCATGCAATACGTTGACAGACCTTAACATAAATCTAGGGACAAAATATTACTTCTATTAAAAGAAGAAGACATAAAATACATCAAAGAAATTATCTTAAAGCAGGCTTACTATCTACAACGTACTTGGCAAACTTGAAAACCAATTCCATTCAACTTTCAAAAACATACGGAGATATGGATTGCTCATTACCCTCTCTGAAGTAGAACATAATGAACAAACCATATATATCTCTCTGACATGTGATACAGTCAATAGCTTTTTAAAATTTCCTTTTTTTTTTTTTTAATAAACATCTACTACGTCACTGACAACAATGTACGCTGATAAAAACAAGGAGAGAGCAGAGTCTAAACTTACCGGCTCCCATGAACCAAACTGACATGAGGCGGTAGAACATTGCTCCAACCACAGCTGCGAAGAACCCTCGCCAGTAGTTTCTCACGGCAAAGTAAACCGTTGTTACCTCAATACTGAACAAAACACCTGAAATCAAATATCAAACGGTTACTTAAACAGCTCTACACTCTGACTGGAAAGCTGTGATCGTAGTCTATACAATCTACAAGTTTTCTGAAGAAGAATATAAGTCAAATATTGGCATTGATAAAGCATATATACAGGAAGAGAGAGAATAGATAGCACCTTACTATCAGACATTGAACCAATGCTGTAAATGCTGAAAAATTCTGAATTTGAAGAGTAGGCCCATATACTGTACCATATACTCTGAGAGTAATGTTCATACACAGCCTTATATCTATACAAGTTTTGTTGTAAATATATATAAAAATGCTTTTGACAAGATATGGATGATTTTAATTCTTATAACAATCACTTCCAGTATAATAATAGAAATGATTCCACTTAATCACAAATAGAATAAGATAAGCTAATGTTTAGAAAATTTATCCTCTGAAACCTAACTTTTTTTCCTCCAGACATTAAACTATAATTTCAAATATCAATATGAAAAAGGGAAGTAAATGCACTGGTCGAGGCTCTTTCTAGACAGGAATCTAATCATAATAAAAATTAATAGCAAAAAATAAAGGAACGGAAAAACAGAAAAATTTATTTTAGAAAAAAGGAAGGGAAATGTACCTCCAATGGGTGCAGCATAGCACACGGCCACGCCCATGGTGCAAGCAGCGGCAAGCAGGTCAGTTGATCTGGCATCGTTCTCTACACTTCCCTTGATGTATCGCAGCATCTTGGTCAACATGGTGGCCACAATACTAGCCATGTGCATGACTGGACCTTCTTTGCCAAGTGGTAGACCTGCGCCTAATACAGCCGCTAAACCCACAATCTGAAGATGGAATTTGCAGGGATTAATGAAAATGTTCACCTTGAATATGACGCGGGTCAAGTAATGAATAAAAATCATAATGCAAATGTGCATGGGTGTATATGTGAATGTAACATGTGAATACATACAAACTTCATGTGTGTATGCCATATTAAAAAAAAAAGAAAAGAAAAAAAGAAGCACTCCAACCTTCGCCAGGAGGGTCTTCCACGTGAGGTACTCCTTGAGCACCACGCCCCTGAGGATGGTCTTCATCTCGGGGATGCCCGAGCCGGCGGCGGACGGGGCCATCCACTGGCAGAAGGCGGCGGCGAAGATGACCAGTAGCGTCGGGATGCTCACCCACGAGAACAGCTTCAGCCCCCAGTGGATGCCGCCAAGGTATTCGTCGAGACGTATTCGGGCTGAGGGGAGAGGAGAGGGGTCAGGGGGTCAGAGAGGAAGGGGTCAGGGGGAAGGCGAGGGGTCAGAGAAGTGGGTTCGAAGGGAAGCGGAGGGGGTCAGAGGGGAAGGGTCAATGGGTAGTGGAAGGTGTGGGTTTTGGTGGATGGGAAGGTGCATGGAGATATAAAGGTACTCTTTGTCATACAAAAAAAATCTGTGTCTCTCCTCTCTTTCTCCGCCCCTCCCCCCTCTCTCTCTCACTAATAATCCACAAATAACAACGCTAACATATCATTAGCTACAAACCAAACATAAGGTAAATTTTCCTAAGGAATCAACAAACCCGTTTGAACTATCCTGCCCAGCCACAAACCGTCCGTTCCCAAACACCTTTTTTTCCTCAACAATCCTTTTCGAGTCAAGCACAGGGGCCGAGCATTACCTTCAGATCCCTCCCGTTCCCAGGTCTGCTGCGTTTTAAAAGCCTCTAAATGAAAGCTCAGACTTAATATGAGAAAGATGATAAAGCTCTCAGTTTGTGTTAAGTCATTGCAAGTGGAAGTACATGAAAAAAAAAAAAAAAATCATATAATTCAAATAAATAAGGTTCTCCTACGCTCCCTCCAACCCCCTCCCCCTCCCCCTCCCCCCTGCAGCCATTGACCCCGTACGAGAGGGGGAGAGAGAGAGAGGAAGAGAAAAAAAATCAACAAGTCACTCACTCGTAAAGAAGATAAGGACAATGTCATCTATGAGGAAGGATATAGTGGCCATGACTGTGCCCAGGATGAACAGGAACACCCAGTCCTCTCCGAGCCGGGCGAAGGTGTGGTCCCAGATGGGT